GCCCCCCCCGCGCCTCCCACGTCTCCTTCCGGAAAACCACCGCAATGTCCTCTGCAAGGGTTGGGGAGGGGTCAGTGAGGCAGTGGGCCCCCCTCCCAGCCCTTAAAATCACTTACCGATACTTGGGGTCCACCCTCCAGCACCCTGAGGTCCCCTCTCCTGCACCTAGGTCCCCCTTTCCTGCCCTCTACAGGTCCCACAAGCACCCAGGATCCCTCCATCATGACTTGGGGTCCTCCCCCTCCAGCCCAGGGGCCCTGCCCCTACAGCAGAGGGCCTGGGAGGCTGCAGGACCCCCTTGGGTCCCCCCTCCAGCACCCAGGGGTGTTTAGGAGCCCAGGGGAAGTGGCAGCTCCCAGCTCCCAACCTCATTTGGATCCATCCCCAAAACTTTCCAGCAGCTCCAGCATTCATCACCCTCCTTCACCCCCATCCTGGCTTCTCCAGGGATAATTTGGCCCCCAAAGATGCCCTCGGGGTTGCAGGGCTCCCAGCTCGCCCGTGGTACCTTTCTGGACCTTGTCGCAGAGCAGGTAGAGCTCCTCGCCGCCTGTGCAGGGACCGCTCTCCTTGTTCATCCGGCAGATCCGCAGCTCCGAGGTGTTGGTGGACTCTACGGGCAGCATCACGGCTCAAGCTGTGAGCCGGCAAGGTGGCTCCCAAACCGCCCAGGCATTGCACCGGGACTGGGCATCAGACTGGGACAGGGCACCAGGACCAGGCTCGAGCACCGGTGACATTCCCGTCGGCATCATCTCTTCCCAGCCAGCCCTCGTGCAGGGTACCAGCCCCGTGGGACACATTCCACCCTGGGCATGGGGGACAAATCCCCACCGGCCACGTGGGACCAACCCTGGCCAAACCCTGCAGCCTGAGCCAGGCCCTGGCGAGGAACGCGCTGGTGCAGCCTCACCACCCAACCCATCCCGGAGCCAGATGCCGGAGCACAGAGGGTTCTGGGGGTTTGGTGGCCCCAGTGGGGACGTGAAGCCCCCTCCCTACCACATACTCTTGTCGAAGATGGGCTCTGAGAGCACAGGGCTAAGGTGCCGCGTCTGCCCGGAGCCGTCCTTGTAGGAGGCCTGGAAGCAGATCCTCACCACGTTCATGTCCACCTCCTGATGGTTCTTGAGGGAACCGGCTGGGAGAGAGGAGAGGGGACAGTCAGCAGCCCCACAGGGCAGGGTTGGGGACATCCCTGCGAGGTGTCCCTGCGCAGCAACAGGGTCTCGGCCCTCAGGAACAGCTCTGCTGGAGCCCCCCCACCTTTGAAAGGGTCAATGCCCAACTGCAGCTTCTTCTCTATCGCCGCCTCGATCTCCTTCTTCTTCACGCACTGGATGCCCAGGTTGCTAAAGCTGCCAGGGAGCAGAGACGTGCTGGGGAGGCAGCTCCTCCCATCCAAAACCTCAGGGGACCCAGGTGTCCTGCCCCTCCCAGCCTCCCGCTGCCCAGGGAACCCCCCAAAAAACAGCCTTCCTCCTGCCGGCACTGGCTTCAGCATGAGCCAACGCCAGCGTCCTGGTGCAAGGTCTCTGCCCCGGCCCAGCACAGCTTCCTGCCGGCAGCAGGACTCATCCTGGCGTTGCGTACCTGTGCTTGGGGTTGGTCTGGGGCTTGAGAACGACCTCGCAGAGCCCATTGCTGCAGTCCTTGCCCACCAGGCCGTGGGGGTGGACGCGGTAGGGC